TATATATATATATATATATATATATATATATATAGTGTGTATATATATAAATCTATATTCGATAAACTATATATACATCTTATATACTATATATAAGATGTTAGTATAGTATATATATTAAATGTATAAAAAAATTGGGGTTAAAACAAAGTTTGGGGGGTTAAATGACTATTTTATAAATAGTCAACGGCTATATTTTTTTATTTATAAAAATAGCCGTTGGGACCGTTTGGCCCGCTAAGAGACCGGTCCGGTCCCGGACCTGGCGGGCCCAAATAATAGGACCGGCCCACAAGACCGGCCTAGACCCACTAAAATCGGGCCAAACGGTCCTGACCCGTTTGACCCGCAGTCCCGGGCCTGGACCGGCCTACTTGCCACCTTTAGTACCGGTACTTACTCGGGTAATATCCTCCCCTTAGACAGCCCTACAGACAAGGTAGATGGAGCTTTAGGTGGGTAAGTATTTGTTTTTTCCCTCGAACATTTTTTGGTCTTCTCTATGTTCTTTTCGTCTTTACACTTAAAAAATGTCCAAATGACCACCAATTAGGCCAGGAGAAAATAACACCTATGAAAAACAAATGTCAAAGATTGGAGACCAAATATGTAACAAGTAAAATAGGGATACAACTGAACCATATCCATCCCAACGGGGATCAACTTGACAATCTATTTATATCTGAAACAATGTGGATTACTTCTAAGTATTCCCCAGTAAAATTCTGTATGCATTCCTCTAGTGGTAGTCATTTCCACCTAAATAAAGCTAGCAGGTAAATTTAAATTGATAGAGTAAAAAAAAATACATACTTAGCTAAACTCATAAAGCAAAGGCAATCTGCAATTGCCAAATATTGTACTACTAAATTCAACAGAGAAAGGAGTTATTTGGCCTTATCAAGAAAAACAAAAGAAAACAGAGCAAAGGTTATTTGATTTGAAATAGATAATCAAATCTACCAGTAAGACCCAAGTAGAATTTACAAATTATATTATCATAGACCATTGTTGGTGCCAACTATTTCTCTTTTGGCTCCAAACCATTCCCCACTGGTTTATTCCCATCATCGGACTGCGACGATTCAGAAGAAGAGAAATCACAGACCAGAACTTTTTCGCATGCAGATTCAACCACCATTACAACAACTTCTTGCTCTCGTTCTACTTCACTTGAATTTTCCATTACTTCAATCGGGCTCACTAATGGTTGAACTGGGGCTCGGCAAATTGGGCAGTTAGAGTGAGACTGAAACCACATGTCAATACACTCAATGTGAAAAGAATGATTACACTTGGGTAAAACCCGACCCGCTTCGCCATTTTCGAATTGGGACAAGCACACAGGGCATTCGAGCGGAGGGTTGTATAATTCCGCTGAATAGATAAAAACAGGGAGTGATTTTAGCAGTAATGGGTCGAGCCCTTGAGAGGAAATAATGGTGATGGTTGAAGTGGCATTACGGCGAGCGTAATTACGGCGGAGGAAAAAGCGGATGGCGTAAAGGTGGAAGAAGGCTATAAGAAGACAAACGAAGAAGAAAACGAGAACAGAGATGAGCATGAGTTTACCGGTGAAAGCATAGTGTGGGTTTTCGCAACAAGTTTGTAGAGTTCCTAATGCAGTAGTAGTAGATGAGTCGTCGTCATCCATTATGATTATTTTAGGAGAAAAAGAAGAAGAAGAAGAAGAAGAAAGAGGTGCAGAAGATTTTGCAGAAAGACATTAATGGAAGAGGAAGGTTCCTCACTCTTACTTGAGATATTGTATAGTGGAACGTGTTTCAGCGGCCTCCACCTCCTTTAAAAAAGTTGTAACGGGTTAAACAAAAACATTGTTTCATTACTTCTTACTCCCTCACTTCCACTTTGTTTGACCTGGTTTGAAGCATGAGGGCTAAAACACTTAATTTTCGATATGAATTTGCACATAAATTTTTAAAAATAAAATTTACAAACATGAAAACTATATAAATAGTATTATAAGTTAATACTTAATGATTTAAGATATTAAAAATATATTTAAGAAAGACATGGTTCCAAAAACCTCTTTGACTTTTCAAATAGTAAATACAAGAAAGTGAGACAGTATTTAATACATACTATATATACTCTTTCCTTCACTTTTAGTTGTCTATTTTTTACTTTACACTCTCTTTAAGAAAAAATAAATAATTGAAGTGTCTTACTTATTTCACACATAATCAAAGTAGGATAGACCTTATATTTTATTTACAATTTAAGTGAAGCCACCATATGTCCTTTCTTGTTATAACTTATAACCTAACTTAAGTCTAAATTCTAACATTTAAATAAGCAATCCATAATAGGAGTATTTTGTTTGTTGCACTTGAGAATAAATACTTTGTATTGTTCTAGTAGAAGATTGGGCATCGGCTAGTAGAAGATTGGGCATCGGCTTATACCCCCAAGGAGCTAGTATTTAGGAACCTATGCAGAATATTTAACTAGTCCATTGATAATATTACTTTGTACAATGTTCATAAATTTCATTCAAATACATTTATTAATTGCTCGAAATTTTGATGGAACATTTCTGCTACCGAAATAACTTTTTACAATTATTCTAGTATTTTGTTCCGTTATTTCCTATATAATACAAGTAAATTTAATATTTGATACTTGCCCAATCAAATAGTGGAAAGGGCAGAAAGAATAATTTTTATAAGATCACTTATAAGTCTGACAAAACAGATACGTTGAGACTGAAAATATTCACAGTTGATGTGGATCAGAATTATCTATATTATCAGGCAAATGCAGTACGAATGGACAAGTGCACTTTTGCCCTTCTCCTCAAGTTGCTCATATTCGCCTTAATAATCTTTTGGATTTCCATATATTATTAGATCAAGGTTCACAACTAACGAAAAAGAAATGGAAAGTCTTTGTCGCACTCCCACATGCAAGAAAGATGCCAGACTTTAGACATTTCCGAGATACTTCGTAAAACATTAAAAAATAAGCTGGAAGCTCAAAGAGATATACCTCCAACCTGCAGACTCTGGATAATAATGATTGTGCAAATTGCCCCCTTGTGCAAATATGTTCTGCAGCATCAGGACAAGAATCATAAACTTCACTTTTTTGGAGAAAGGGGGACTGAAAGAGCAACAACACATCAAGTTTTGACCATGACTTCCCTAAGCCTTGTTGAAGAAATTATTCATGTTGTAAATGGACAAGCATTCAAGTGGTTGCAACACAATAGTTATCACAGATTCTGGGCACATTCCAAGTGATAGAAGACAAATTAAGCTAGCAATGTAGGCCAAACAAGTTTGGGATCAGCTATATAAATCCTCACCGTCTATGTATGCTTCGTTAAGCCCGTCTTGATCCAATATTATTGAAATAATAATGATAATAGTTTTACTAGCTACATTTTCGCTTGGCATTTGCATGTTAAAGCCCATTAAACAACCTCCTGCAAGTTATGTCCCTCTTCTTGAAACCACCAAGGCATATACTCCATGCGCCGTAAGCTCCCAGTTTCTACATCTTTAGGATTTGATGACAAAGTTTTGACTACCATTTTATCTTATCATCCAATGTTCTGACTGATTCATCAATCAATGGCTAAAACCAAAAAAAGTTCAATGAAAACAAGCACAAGTGCAACTTATTAGCAATTCCTGAATATTCTAACTGATGCCCACAATATATGGAAGTTAACAAGCATAAATATATAGTGGTCTAGATTGCAAATCGCGATAGTGCTTCAGTTCTCCAGTGAACCTCTGCTAGAATTCCTCAGCATCACTAGTATCTGAACCAAAGACTGAAATCTTACGAGGAAATGGATCACCATTTTATAAGGAAATCCTTTCAAAATTCTGGCTCTCTACATGCCATGTAATCCCATTTCTACTTCCCCAGTTCCCAGATATCATAGTGGAAAAGAGTTTGTGCCACATACACTGGTACAACACAAAAAATGTTTTACCTTCGCAAAGCAAGACATATTACTAGGTCGACATTCCACGTTATATAATTTTCACATTATATATTAAGAGCCATGTAGTGTGGCTGTAGCTAGCAGAGAAGCAGGGGAAAATCCTTAAAATTCAAAGGATTTACAGGCTGCGAGGGAAAAACATGAATTTGTTTATGTACACACGTCTGATAAATGTGAATCAGTTACACGATTGAATTTGTGACCACTTTATCTAAAAGCTTAAACTTTTAGAAAGGTACATTTTTTTACCTAGTTATACCTTCAATGCACCCCTCACGTGCAAACTGAATCTTTCTCATAGGTCAAGCATGTGAATGACGGTGAGAATTTGAACTCAGAACTTGTGCTTGCTCTCGTACTATGTTAAATTGTGTGAAAATCTCATCTAAAAAGCTTACTAATGAGTGTGCCTAGAGCCATGTTAATAACTCAACACACTAAATTGGGAGATAGACAAAAAACAGCTCAATAAACTAATTTGAGAGAGGAACCCGACTTTCCTACGAGCATGAGAATGGTTGTGCCAAGAGTTGCCTTGATACCATGTTGAACTCCATGTACCACCTAAAAGTTCAAGCTTTTAAAGAAGCACACTTTTATTTATTTTCTTGTATCTTCAACATAGACTTGCAACAACAACAACAACAACCCAGTATAATCTCACTAGTGGGGTCTGGGGAGGGTAGTGTGTACGCAGACTTTACCCCTACCCTGGGGTAGAGAGGCTGTTTCCGATAGACCCTCGACTCCCTCCCTCCAAGAACTCCCCACCTTGCTCTTGGGGTGACTCAAACTCACAACCTCTTGGTTGGAAGTGGAGGGTGCTCACCACTAGAGCAACCCACTCTTGTCAAGGGGTATATATATTTTTTTTTCACGGGGCAGCAAAGGGAGAAGCAAGGTACAATGCCTTAGAGAACTGCAAAAATCACAAGAGTTTCTAACAACAGGATTTAGGTTCATTTTTCATATTTGAAATAACTGAATAACTGATGGAGTTTCTGGTCAAATATCCCCATAAACGGTTGGGTTTTTTTTCCGAAGGCTAAATAAGTTAATCTCTCATTTGATAAAATTTCTGTCTTCTTATCAAATTAACGAACTATTCAAGGCAAAGAATAAAAAAAGAAGAGCAAAACCACAAATTTTGAAAAGAAAAAAAAAGAAAGAAGAGAGGGCAATGGAAATAGAGCTAGCCGTGATTTTTCATTAATAGGTGGATTGTGATACAAGCAGCAAGAGAAATACAATTACCATCCTTGCAAGCCGTCGAGAGAAAAAAGTAAAAGGAACAAAAAGCAAGTCAAAGAAAATGAATCCACTCTTATGAGGATTTTGAAAATGAGGAACAGGTATTCTAGCATGGGCTGAAAGTTTTTAGGGCAGAAGAGGGAAGGGAATGTACCTGAGTTGCACACATAATACCTGTTGCCAAATAATATCTCTGACATAATGTCCAGAGATAGCTATGCTCTTCCAGGAACCACCACTCCAAGCCCGGCATGTCTATATTGTACAGCCACCAGGTCCTTGTTATGTGGAAGATCGTGTACCTGGTGGCACCTGGTGACTGCCCAGTGAATCCATGGTTTTCGGAGGTCCTGGGTAATGGCTCAGAACCCTTTAATAATATAACACTAAGCAGTGCCGGAAACTAAAGGAACCAATGTAGAAATAGAGCCACAGAGCCTTCACCAATTTCTACTACTTTCTTATCAATGAATTAGTATGTTGGGGCTACCAGCATCATTGTAGACAGGAAACAAAAGTAATAATATGGCAAGTAATAAGCCAAACATACAAAAAAGGAGTTAATCTACCTTCACACATATGTAGCTCCATTCCTCGTCAGAAACTAAAAACTTAGTATAAAAAGTGGTCTTCCCACACATGAAAGCAGGACATTCCTGGAAATATATTTTACTGAGCAACAGGTTTCCTGCTATCCATAATTCCATTTGTGTAACACTAAAGAGAACAGTGACCTCCAAGCAAGAGGACAGTCAAAAAAGATTCACTGTTTTCACTTTCATCAACATATAAGTCCTGAACTGCAATCTGTGCACCTCTATTCAATTTCTCACCAATGCCATTTTAACCTTTTGCTAAATTCAAATCTCTCTCCTTGCCAGAAACATCACATTGTTAAATAAAATACTCATCTATTACTTGAATTCTTACATGATATCTTTATCATTCCTTCTGATCTATTTATGTACTGTATATCAAAATTCAAAACAGTAGGCAACAACTTCCTGGGTTCTCCATTCTAGTTCCAAGCTGGTCCTGGATCTCATATCAAAATTAATGTTTACATGCTTACATCTAGGTAAAATGTGAGCATTCTCCTCAGTCATTACTCACCTACTCAGACAAGTATACAGCACATTCTAGGTAAGGTCTAAATGTTTCAAGCCTTAGATAAAGGCTGGCAGTGTTTGTAGACTTTGTGCATTACCATTGAGAGGAAACAGTTATCAATATCATACTCTGCCAGGACTGCAGGTAGAAATCATGGCCACCTCGGCCAAGATGGCATACATATTAGAGAGACACCAGCAGTCTAACATAGTGTTGAAGAAGGCAATGATAACTCAAGTGGAAAAAGCATGAGAACAGAGATAAGCAACAGCTTACACAGAGTAGATGTCATGGGGGATCATAAGAAAAATTCCACTGCTCCAAGTCCTATACCAAATGAGTTTTCGTCCATCCTGATGACATTTTCAAAAACAACCAAAGAATTTACTGGTATTGGAGGGAATGGATGTGAGTATTGGATAAAAAAGTATGTTTTAACCAGTGAAGACCAATGCTGCAGTGTACCAATGCCATTATCTAAGTTGCTCCGACACGCCAGTTTAGGTGCCGCACCCATGTCGACACGACACTAGTATGGGTGTGGGTATGGGATCCGTACCGGATATGGTCAAATAATTTTGGGTACTTTGACCACGACGGACAGAAAAATTCGATACGAGATATAATTTGATTCCCGAAATCAGATAACCAAAACTAGGGTAAATTTGAAGAAAATAGCATACCTTATCCAGGAAATCGATCATTTACTTATCTACAACTTGAGAATAAAAAAGAAATTCTCATTTTACAATTTCTCATAATTTAGAGATATTTTTATATTTTTATATTTTTGAATTATTTTTAGCCGGATCTCCTCACCCGTATCCGTACTAGGATCTGCATCCCGAAATCTTAGAATTTACATCTCGAAGAATCCGACCTCTAGATCCGCACCTGTGTCGGACACCCGCACCCGTGTCCGAGCAGCTTAGGCCATTATCACTTCTTCACCGTAATCTGTTGGAGCTAGTTTATATTTTCAGGGATTCTTTCTCCCCAAATTGGAAAAGAAACCGAGGAAATAAAGATTTTCTTTGGATTTATCGTGGTTTCGCTTGCCACTTGTACTAATCTGTTAGGTATCATGTGACAGAGATCAGGCAATCATTTTTCTTATTCTTTTAGTGTGTATTTCTTCTGCTGGTATGTGGGGGATTGAGAAAGGACAGCAATCATCCCAAACAAAGAAAGAATTGTGAGAAGAGAAGCCCCTCTTCTTTCCATTATATTCTTTATATAGTGAAAAAAAATGCATGTCAAAGCAGGACTTATAAACAAAGTGGTGAACTCCACCTCTCTATCCATCGAGTTCCCAAATTCACAAATCTGATTGGGTATCTTATTATGTCACAAACTTCAACAAGTACACCTCAAATTCTACCAAAAACTTCAGTGATTTATAGAAAAGGAAAATGCAGTATCAATCATAGATATACATTAAAGTGGTAGCATTACAGCGTATACTGTATCATTGCTTATTTCAAGTGATGAAGTTGCAGTAACCTGGACGACAAAGAGGGCATCTGTTGATTAAAACCTCTGAATAAAATCATAAATGCGGGCATTTATTTCATCAGGCTTTTCTTGGTTGATGAAGTGACCTACTTCCTCCATTACAACAACCTCCTGCAAATTAGGCACTTCAATCTTGAAACCACCATTGAGTATATACTCCTTGGTTCCAGGAACATGATACGTCGCGTCCAGATCACCCACCACAAACCTAGTAGTAACTTGAATTTTGCATCCACTAAATGGTGCTGTAAGCTCCCAGTTTCTGCATTTAAAGAATAGATTTAAGAAAATTTGGACGTACTTCAGCAAAATTAAGCTGAAACTTTCTGTATTTCAGCAAAATAGACTATTTATCAACGACTTTGCAAACACTAGCTATTTTTCAATTAACAGTCCGAAAACTGACTAGGTCGTGCTATTTTCACGATTTTTTCGCAAGAAGCAGACCCAATTCCATAGCGCACTTGCGTGTTTTTGTATGGGCCTAGCGGGATTGGTCCAGAAAGTTCTCGACATCTGCTTATATACGTTCCGGAATATCTACTTGGGCAGAAATATCGGTACGGATAGAAGTATCGAGAAAATACTAAACTCTCCTCTACGACAGTATAAATACCTACCAGGTCCTCTTCCTTGAACCAACGAACTTGAAACCTGAAAGCAAACTCAGAAAATTCTCAAAAGGGCTTTCCAGGTTCCAATTCACATGAGACCTCTGCATTCGCGAACACTAGAGTCGACTGGAAGGAAACTCCGGGGGGCCATGTGCTCAAGGCAGATCTCCCTTGGCTTAAGAAGGAGGAAGTGAAAGTGGAGATCGAAGACGATAAGGTTCTTCAAATCAGCGGAGAGGAACGTGGAGAAAGATGACAAGAATGACACGTGGCACCGCGTGGAACGCAGCAGCGGGAAATTCATGAGGAGGTTCAGACTTCCGGAGAATGCGAAAATGGATCAAGTTAAGGCGGCGATGGAGAATGGAGTGCTCATTGTTACTGTTCCCAAGGAAGAGGTGAAGAAACCGGATGTAAGTCCATCGAGATCACCGGTTAGACGCTATATAAGTTTATACGTAAATGTTAGGATTGGGAAACCGGGTAGTGCGGAATTTAGCCAAAAAATATTATAATAATAATAACAAAGAGAATGCAAGTTGATAATAACGGTAATTAAAGAAGATAAAGAAGACACAAATTTAACGTGGTTCGGTCAAGGTGATCTACGTCCACAAGCGGAGAGAAGTAATTTCACTATACCAACAAGAGTACAAAAGAGAGTACAAAATTAGAGTAAATATTCTAATTACCAAATACCACAAGACAAGATCACTCCAAAGAAAGGGTTCACACAAGTATTTCCCAACACTCACTCTCTTACAAAATACTCTATAACGAAATAAAGGAGGAGAAAGAAAGACAAGAGTGAAAAGCTCTTGAATTGGTGTGTTTTCAAATGAGGAGAAACTCCTCTATTTATAGCAAGAAATCATTGGCCTAATAATGGATATTATGTCATGACAAATGTCATGATCCACAAATTTGTTATAATGGATATTATGTCATGGCAAATGTCATGAACCACAAATTTCTTATAATGGATATTATGTCATGGCAAATGTCATGAAAATTTGGCCATATTACAAATCTCCACCTTGGCCTAATTTCGGCTTATATATAGTAAATTTGCTCCACATTCTCCGCAAAAACTCCAATAGGCAAAATCATTCTTCATAAATACCAATCAAGTTCAGGCAAAGCTTGAACTTGGACACTGGAAGAGGTT